TATGGCTCGCCAATTGATCGAGGAACTGAAGAAGATGGAAGTCCAATACGTCGTCGCGCCGTACGAGGCAGACGCACAATTGGTATATCTTGAACGGCAGGGTATCATCAATGGTATCATATCTGAAGACTCGGACTTACTTGTCTTCGGCGCCAAGAGACTGCTGTCTAAACTCGACCAACATGGCGATTGCATTGAGATTAATCGAGCAGACTTCACGGCCTGTCGCGAGGTTAGCTTAATAGGATGGACAGATGCTGACTTTCGACGAATGTGTATCCTCAGTGGCTGCGATTATCTACCCAACATCCCCAGAATGGGTCTGAAAACAGCTTATCGGAGCATACGAAAGTACAAGAACGTTGAGAGAGCACTTCGTATGCTACAATTTGACGGGCAATTTCACGTTCCCGCTGATTACCTTGAGAATTTCAAGCAAGCTGAGCTCACGTTCCTATACCAGAGAGTTTTTTGTCCCAAGGCCGGCAAGCTCGTCCCTTTGACTCCACCCGGAAAGGATGTGAACCTGGAGGAGCTGCCCTTTATCGGGCGCGATGTGGATGCGGAAATCGCGCTGGGAGTTGCACTTGGCGACTTGGATCCAACGACGAAAGAGCGAATTATGCTAAGACCCCAAGCCCCTGGGAAGATGCCAAGCGGAATTACTCGGCGGCAGACGCTCGGCTCTGCGGCAGAGTTGAAGCCAAAGAAGCCCATCAGCGCCTTCTTTACTCCAAAGCGGATGCCGTTGGCTGAACTAGACCCAAACAGTCTAACACCTTCTCCGAGTCAGCAACGACTCCTGGAGCGTCATGCCAATAGTTCTTGGGAGAGTAGTCCTGCGCCATTGCAGGCAGGCCTTACAAGGTCGGCGTCTGCTCTTGGTCCCTCCAACCGATTATCAAGTCCCTTGGTCAGAAGTGTGGAGCGTACCTCTTTCTTGGCTCGCGCGGCTAAAGCGTCAACTTTTCAACCGGCCAAGCGGCAACGCCTTTGCGCCGACACTGAGGAAGAAAGCTTGCCGGAGCGTGCAGACTGCCGCAGTCGTTTCTTCGAGCCTTGCACCAACAGCTCCAGTCCAAGTGGCTCGAAGGCTGCTCGAACCAAACGCAAATCAACGTTGGAAGTTTTCTCTGATGAGCTTGCGGAGCAGATAATGACGCGCCTTCCTGACCCTGATCACGGTTCCGGCGACTCCAAGGAAGGTGTTGATTCGCCCGGAGCGTATAAGTCAGACGAGAAAGATGGCAAACCATTGCTGTCAAATTACGTCTTCAAGCCCCAGGCTAAGGAGAGTAACTCTGGCTCATCCCGCATTCTAACGTCGTCAACCTCATCTGGTCCGTCCCCGCGGCGCCGACTCACTCCCTTGCAGCGCCTTGGTCAAACTGCTCTTGCTCGTTCTCGATCTGTGAATGCCCTGCCCCAGACAAAGACGTTGGTCCCCCCCAGCCTGGTTGAACGTTCCGCGACAACCTTTACTCAGGGCAGTGAAGACTTGATTATTCCCAACACCGACGATGAGGAGGATGGCGACGATACCAGCAATCCGCAGGAACCGATTAATCTGGAAAAGTTCTTGTACGCCAGATAACAGATGTACTCCGGTTGTTGGAGCAGAATCTGTTGGTTTGCATGGACGAGTGAACATTAACTGAACGGGGTACAACGGCGTACTTGGAACCAATTGCATACTACTATTTTGCATTGATACTTTTGGTATAACCATATCTGAATTGGGCGGTCTTGTTGGGTTACAAGGTTTGGGAGGTGTTTGACATTGCAAGAGAAAAGACATGATTAAATTAGAGTAATATACATACAGAACAGATTCGTCCTTGGTCTCTATTTTTTCCATCATTGTGACTGACAACGAACAATCGATAGCCTTTAATCTTCTTGTGCCTGTCTATTGCTGACAGTGGAGTCCTTGACACCTGAAAATCGCGAGGCTGGATCGATCATGTTACTGATAAGCCATGGAGCTAGTCCTATCAAGGTATAGTGCAATGAGTGGGTCAACAGGGCACTAGCTGGGTTGCCTGAAAGTGCAGGCGGTCAGACATGGTTACCGGGGAACGGGCGGCGTAAACAAAAGGCGTTGGCCCAGCCTCCTGCATTGTATGGGGATAATCTCCCAGCCACCAGGTACAGCACAGCATCATCATGATCTGTGTCACCACCGGGACCCTGATGCTGTAACTGTCCCTCGTTGTGAAAAATTAGAAGCAGAGAAGGAGGTTTAGGCCGCAATCGTGGATTTGTCCAGCTACGCTCCCTTCCCTCTCTTTCCCCTCTATCCTTCTTCCTACTATACCCTCTCTCATACTTGCCTGCTTTTGGCACATACCTAACTTCGCCAAATCTGATATCCCAATCTGCTTTGAGTCGAGACTCTGACCATCTTGAGCAAATAATCAGGTGTCGTTCTTTGAAGGAAGCCACATTCTTTGAAAAGCTCCGTCGACTATATCGCATTGAGCTATTCGAGTGACCCATCCGAGCCTCGATCCACAACATCCACATTCCATACCACCACGTTGTCACAGCATCGTCGACTCATCTGGGAATCTTATMTTATCTCAGTGATCAAGATCTTCTACAAGACAGTACATAGTGGTGACAGTACTCAGTCAACCTGCGTGCCACCAAGTTCGACTGGCTCAGAAACGTCTTGTGACCGCGCCCCTCGCCGTATAGTGACCAGCAGCGGTGCTATAGGCACTCCTTCTCGGGAGCCCGAGAAGTGAGTTACTCAGTGTGAAGGAAAGACGCACGGGAGATCCGAACCTGCTCCCGCAATGCCTCTCAGAATTGGCGCCGGGCTTGCCCGTATGTAGTGCCCTTCCCAGTTATTTAGTATCGGAGTATACTGACCAGGCATCAGGGTTTATTCCAATGATTGGTTATCATCATGTACTCATGATTATCATTGCTGTGGCGATCATTCTTCTCTGTGAGTTCTCCGTCTGCCACAAGTCGTGCGGAATGTCGCTAACTTATCCTAGCCTTGCTACTGGCCGGTTGTTCGTCATCATCGCCGCAAATACCGGATATCTTTTTGATCTCTTTATACTATCAGCGTTATAGCCCAGTCTTCGACAAGGCGCAGGTGGATCCTGGCGTGGTGACAGCGATGGCCAATATTGTTGGTGGTGCAGAAATGGAGGTCCGCGTGGGATATTTCGGTATCTGCGTTCAACCATCTGGCGGAGCCTACATCTGCAACTCAAACGCCACGGCATTGGCAGAGATTGTAACCGTCGACCAAGATCCATTGAATCTAATTTGGGTGGCATCGACATTCAAGGACGCAGTCGTGTTCCCTTATTTGCTGTAAGTCCTTTGATCCCCCGTCTGTTCGCGCGGCAGTTGCTCACTCGTACAGTATCGTTGCGGTCATCCTGGCCTTCCTCTGCTTTATCCTCCTGGCCACATTCCCCGGCTGGCACGAAGAGATCGATTCCAGCGGCTCAGAACGAGAGGTCAAACCATTTCCCTCGCGCCCCGTCTCCCAAGCTGCCTTGGCACTCATCTTCGTCGCATCTGTCTTTGTGCTCGTGTCGGTCCTATGGCAGCACACAGCATCAGTTGCTGCAACAACAATAGCGCAGGACATGGGCAACGGGAGCGTCAGGTCTGGGGTTGGAACCTCCGCCATGGTGCTTGGCTGGTTCGGCTTCGTCCTCTTAGTGGTCGTAACAATAGGTCTCTTGGTGATGATCCTGAGCATCAGCCTGATAAGGCAGTTGACGGATGAAGAATAAGCGCCACGATCCGCACCACTCATGCATTTTTGATGTTTTTTACGACGCATGTTCTATGTTTAATTGATCGCCATGTTTTCACGAAAGCCGCACGAATAATACGACAACTGGGACTGGGAAACGGGTATGGAAAGGAATTTCGAGACTCATGAAAAGGACGAGTTGGAGCTGTCTGCCACAGGCACTTGGAAATTGCAGGTGTACATTCAGCTTTTGTTAGATGACTTGCACGGATTTTTTGATTTCTTATTATGTATAAAAGATGATGCCCCTTTGTTTCTGCCTTTTACTTTACTTGTGTGTGGTATTGGAATCATCACTCACATGGATGGGATATGGACATAGCAGGGTGATGACTTCGTTTCTGGTTGGGAGATCTGTGTGCTTGGATGCCAATTTTTGACAATGATTCAACAATTACAATATGAATCAAGACGATAGATGAAATTTATGCTACTACTGATATATATATTTGGACGTCTTGGGGACCAAGTAGAGTGGTAGTGGGCGGAAACATAGCATCCATCCTGCCACGCACAAGAGGCCCGATCCTTGTTGTAGACGCATAACATGAATGATTGGTCACAGTTGCTCAGATCGCATAAAGCATCAGCATCTTCTGGATGTCCCAAACAGCGCTGCCACAAGCTGCGAGAATGGCCACAAGGAGACCTGCTATGAACGTAGCAATGGCAAGTATCTCAGAATCCATCACCCATCGCTCCAGTTGCAGCTCAGCAGGAAGCAATATGTTAGTGAGGAGTGGTGTCTCCATGGCCCCATTCGCGTTTGTTCAGATTCTATGACGAAGGATGCTATGATGGTGAAGGTGTATCAACAGTGAAAATGTTATATATCAGCTTCATTTTATACTAGATTCTCGAGAATTTCATAAGCCCAGGTAGCGAATGGCAGGCATTATGATATCTCTGTCAGGGTGCTGGTCTGTGACGACCATACATGCAAACATTCACTTTGGATGAGTTGTGGTTTCTGCATCTCTACTGCTCTAGTTTTGGTGCATTGTTCGTGCCATATCTGTATATGGTGGGCATACAGATTATGATCCCGGCGTCAGACCGTTTACAAGCGTTGTCGACGATGGCCCCGTCAATGTATGATGTCGATGGCTTTCTCTGCGTCGACATGTGGGAGAAATCGATTTGGTTAGAATGTGTTATGTGGTAACCATTCCAAAGGATCTGGTCTAGTTTACGTGACAACCGGTCAAAGTTAATGGAAGTAGTATGTGATCGGGTAACCCAAGAATTCACACTGAGCCAGATCCTGGAAAGGAGCTCGCACACTAGGATAATCGAGGAGCTGCAGTGGTCCCTCGGAGTGAGACACCGGCTCCCATCGATCGAAATTGTTGATGGCGTCCAGCGTCTGCTTATACCCTCGCGCCTGGAGGTACTCCGGCGGAGGGTTCGGTTGGCCGGATCGAACAAACTCGGCAAAGTAGGCAGACACAAGCTGCATTGAGAAAAGATCGAGAGGGTCGCGCAGGGTGGTTAGCGTCCCAAAGACCCAAGGGAGATCTGCACCATGAAGACGAAAGTAGGGCAGCTCCGGGTCACCATTCGGGAATCCTTGCGTTGCAGGAGGGCCGCCGAGATTGTTAGGGTCATACCCACCGGTTGTCCTCTGTATCTGATAAAAGTATGAAGGTTGGAACACTCCAGAGACAACACCGGCAAATACAGTGGCCTGATCGATACAGCGGAATTGCAAGTCTGTCGCTACCCGTTGAGAGACGTTGAAAGAGTCCAGAGTCACATTGCCCGTGTCGTAGTAAGGGAATAGACCCGAGTGGATGACAGTTTGGGCGTATTTCTCACTGATACCTAGGGCTGCTTGAATGCCTTCAAGCTCGGAACTAACAGGAGTTTTGGGGTACGTGCTGAACGATGCGCCGTCGTTGGCGACAATGCCGAACATGACCGGCACATTGGAGGTGGTGACCTCTTTCCGAAGTAGATCGAGCTCCTTTGTTGTCACATAATGACCGTCTTGGACGACATAACGCGCAACAGTCTGCAACCCGACGAGGGTTGACGCAGGAACATTTCTTAGGCAAGATATCTTATGTTCCAGACTGCCGCTGTTGCAGCCTGCTTCAGAGAAGATTTGCGGACCCGCTAGCTTATAGGACTCGTCAACTGTGAGATATGAACTGTACGTCGTTGCGTAGTCGCTCTCCAGCCCGAGCCCAGCACCGCCACCCAGGTTTGACATGGCAATGGCGCCTTGGAACTTTCCTGAAGCAGGAGGAGACCCTAGTAGCACTCTGACCGAGCCCGCGCCGGCCGATTCACCGATGATGGTAATCTTCTTTGGATCACCTCCGAATTGCGCGATATTCTTAATAGTCCACTGTGACCGTTAGTCCTGGGCCCATCTATAGGGAGAAGTGGGAGTAGTACCTCAAGGGCGAGAATCTGGTCTGAGATTCCATAGTTTCCGGTAATATCAGTGCCAGGAATAGCCAGAAATCCAAGTGTCGACAGCCGATAGTTAAATGTGACCACCACGAGGTCCTCGCGTGATGCCAGGTTACCACCATCTGTAAGCGGATCCGCGCCTGTTCCTCCAGTAAAGCCACCGCCGTGAATCCAGAACATGACAGGCTTCAGGCCCTCACGCGATCCCTCCTTGGGTATGTAGGGTGTTTGAATGTTCAGGTATAGACAGTCCTCACTGCCGCCGCCGCTCTGAGCACATGCAGAACCATAGTTGGTCGCGCGAATAATCTTGTCTTTTTGCGAATAGAGTGTTGCGTGCTTGAAGCGCCGAGGAGGGTCGGCATATGGAATACCCAAGAAGCGAAACGACTTTTGATCGCGGAAACCGACATACGAGTTACCTTCGGACATTACTCGCAGCTGCTTTGGACGACTGTCTGTGTCCTCAACCACGGAATCGTTGCCTGTCTGGGTGCATAAAACAGGAAGCCTTGCATTTTGAGGTGGAAAGTTGGAGACAACGAAATCATCCGAATCTTTGGAAACGGAGAGTACGCCTTCACGAATGTAAAAGTGTGCGTCTGATGTTGTTCTTCCGGAGTATGTGAGCCAAGAGAAGAGATATTTGAAATCCTCTTTGTGTTCTTGGAGGCTTGTTTGGGAGATCAGCGTCTCTCCGAATTCCTGACATGCCTCCCGCACATCTTGCTGGTACATTGGGTCAAGTAGGATCGCACTGATGTGGTTTGAGGCATCCGATGCATTCAGATTGTTCTGATAAAGGAGCGTGAGAGAAGTCTTCTCGTTGGCCACAGAAACATGCTGCGCAACGAGTCCCAGCACAGTAGGGACAATACTCCCAAGGACGAAGGAACGCATCATTATTGTTATCGTCCGGATTGACTGATTCTCATACCATTGCCTTGTATTGAAGCAATAGGAAAGGCGTCTGATCGACAGATCCTGCCTGCTCGGGAGAAGTAGTATTGCTCAACGAAAAGTGTCACTTCACAAGTAACACCTTATCAGACGTTTTCTCCGCAGCTATGGGGACGCTCGGTTATTTGAAGTCCCTGCAGATTCTGAATAAAGTGCAATGAGGACTAGGGGCATCTCCCATAAACCCGTGGAGTAACCTGGAGACGGAAATCAGCCGGTAGGGAATGGGACTTCGGTCCAGAAGCATGCTGATTAGGCCGTCTGGGGCTAAAATCGACGATAATAAGGCCCTCAAGGTGAAGGGCCTGTAAAAATTCAAGCGCATTGGAGAATTAAATCGTATTTGTCTCCAAGCCATCGTGGGAGTCCAACTTTAGCCGGGGACTCATCTCGACGCTTGAAAGGGAGTCACCAGACATTCCGATTCTGCAGTACAGCCAACTAACGAAGAATCGACCAGTTCCAGTACGGTGTCAGTGCGGCCTCAGATTTTAGCCAAAGTTCGAGGTTACACTCGTTCCTTAACGGAATGGACTCATTTCCCCTAGATTAGGTCTGCTTGACAGCCGAGAGGGGTCTAATTAGCCACATGGCGCTAATGTACTGGAATCCGCAAGAGGGGAAAATGCGGACCGAATGTGCGCGGGGATGTTTGTTGCATGGAGAAGTTCGGATCATCTGAGGAATGTGTTGTAAAGAATAGATAGATCTTAAGGGAGAACAGAGAGTAGTCTGGATAGACATGGAGCCGATAGTGGATCTTCGATTCCCCTTCTCCCTTAATAACTCGGAGGTTCTAACTCTTCCAGACAGGTACTAGAAAAAAATATCTATGTAGTGTGTTTCAATCAGAAAGAAAAGAAAGAACGCCACTCTTCAGGCAAAAAGATCCGATGATCTGATGGACTGATGCATGGTTGTTTCTGCGGTCTGCCTCCTGCAGCGGTCTTCAATTGCATATTCCAATCGTTCTCGATGGCTGCGACAATAAGCCGAAACCGACTGACAGAAACATGGGACACAGTAGGATGTAACAGGTAGAGGGAGAAAAGTTCCACATATTTCAGGACATCTTGTATCACTTCCAAGCGCCTAGTTGCTAATTGTAAGAGAATATGGGAAATACCATGGCTGGTGATTTGCAACATAACGTCCGGCTTGCATTTCGATCCTGAGCCAGATGCTAAAATTCTCAAGGGTGTCAAAACGGCGAGCATAAAAGCCGGTCACGCTGGATCAATCAATTGGAAAGCATCATTTCACACCCCAGATAAGACTCCGACGCCGAGATCGACCGTAGGAACAATGGATATTATCAAAGACAAATAAGATGCAGCAATTCCCACGGAAATAAACCCTAATCGCCAGCTCAGTATTAGTAGTTCATAACAGGTCCAGCACCTCCTGGTCCAGGCTTGTCTTCGTAACCGCCATCATAACCGCCATGATCATCCAAGGATCGATAACCAGCAGGACCGCTATCGCGCCCACGGCCTCGACCACGCGCGCCTCCACGACTTGAGTGGCCCTTACCTCGTGGCGCTCCTCCACGGCCGCGACCACCGCGGTGCGAGCCACCACGGCGTGGTCCATCATCATGATGGCGGCTGTTTCCACCATAACGGGAATTATAGTATGGCTGCGGCCTTGTCTGGGATAGCAGCTCATCATTCTGAGTGGATTGCGGATACAGGATATCCTGATCACGTTCTTGCTGATGGCGTCTCTTGCGGTTCTTGTTCAAGAACTGACTCTCCCATTCGCCCTCATGGGGGTTCTCTTCTTCCACACGCAAAACCATTTTCTCACCGACGACAGTTTCAAAAGTCAGAGCTTTCTCGGCTGGTACAGGATGCCAGTTCTGAATCTTGCCTGCATCAATAGGACGAGCGCCTTTGCGCACAGCTAGAACTATCACGGGCAATGGATTCTCTGTGTAGTACTTCTCCGTCGCAGGAACAGGAGCCACTCGAGCAGCCCACACCTTGTTCTCAAAGACGGCAGTCCCAGTGACCTGCCAGGTGAGCTTTTTGCCAATGCCGCCGACCTTGTTCAGAATAGATCGAGGGGCAGGGCGCGGGGTAATGAGGACACTGTTAGCCATATACTTCAGATCATTGGATTCAGCAAGCCCAGAGGGCAGAAGCGGGGTCAGTAGTTGGCTGATCAAACGATTCGAGTCTGCGTTAGATATAAGATATCCAGTGTAGAAAATGGTGCGCTTGATGCGCAGACGACCATATGGCGACCGGGTCATATTCGATGAAGCTTCGCGGATAGACTTATTGTGGGAATTGATCATACGCTGTACCTCGGCAGTTTCAACTACAGGGGAGAGGAAGGTGCATCCTTCCGCGACCTGAATCACTTCCGCATTGATCGGCTTCCGAGGTGCTGGCACAACCTGCAGTGACCGGTTCAAATCCTCGAAGAAGTCTCGGAAGCCCTTGACACTAGCAACAAATGAGTGATCTCTCAGGAACGGGCGTCTGAAAAGTGGCTTACTGCTTCACTCGATCTTCATAGACCCGAATCTCGTCGGCCTGCTCATAAGTGAGAACGAGGTCTTGAAGGAAGGTTTGTTTGAACTCCATGGTGGTTGAAAAGCGTTCGCTCTTGGGTCCCACTTCAGGCTTGAGACAGATGAGATCAAACTCCAGTTTTCTGCTGTCCACCATGCGCCGAATAATGTCCGCGAAGCCATTCTCACTTCGGCCCGTCAGAAGTACTGTGAGGGCGTCCTTCTGCTCCATACTCAGCTTGACCAGCCGTACCTGCGGCCAGTCAGCGAACCATGCCAAACCATCCAAGGCATTTTAAGTCACACAATCTGTTCATTCCACCAGCCATTCCAAGCTCGCGGCTCCTCCTTGGCCAAGCCTTCTCCTGTAGCTGCGAGCAATGCCGGGTCGTGCCACCACCCTCCATTTGTGAAACTTTCCAGGCTTTGTAGAAATCCGATCGTCGGKCCATTCCAAAGTTGCGGATTCGGCAAGGGACTCAGGAATACTGCACAATATAAGCTTCGAAATAGAGAAGCAACTGCGAATGGGAGCTCTCACAGGTGTTGTCGAAGTCGTACACATGAATAGCTCTTACCTGCGATACCGCTGTTGTATGTAGAGAGTTAGTAATGAAGTTCAAGATATTTAGTCCAGGTGAAAACAGATCTCGCACCTGGTAAATCTCTGTTGATGATGGACCACCGCTTCAACCCTGTTATGGTGCGTGAGGTAAGTTGATTGCCATTCGCAAGGCTCGAGAAGCCATTTCCATTGGCTTTCCCTCTTGCCATACTTGCGGCAGAGCTAAGAGGAGCAAAGTAATTATCAGCAATGGCAGATTTGGCCGACCTCATCATTTTTCCACCATGGGTTCCAGCGTTGCGTGTTGCGTTGGTGAATCTCAACTCGCCGCAGGTTTTGGTTTTTCCCGCCACAACGTGACCTACGCCCGCAGAAGTAGTATCAACCGAGCGGCGCTCTCTCTTCGCCGATGACATCCATTTAACCAAAACTGTCACAGATCGATCCCCTTTACTTGAAAATCAGTCTGATGTCTGATGTCTGATGTCTGGAGATGTCGACGTGCGACAGGAGATCCTGCAGAAAACGCTCCAAGAAGTAGCGCAAGAGGACAATGGTGACGATGTGGCTAACCCATGCGTCATCTGCCTGGAAGCAATCACAGAACCAGCTGTCACGGAGCCTTGCGCACATGCGAATTTCGACTTTTTATGTATCGTGAGCTGGCTGGAGCTGCGCCGCAACTGTCCGCTATGTACGTCTCACTATGTCTGCCTTTAGACCTCGCTTTCGGTTCACTTCAGACTGACGTTCCTAGGCAAAAGCGATGTTCGCACTGTCAAGTACGAGCTCGAGAACCCTCAAGGACCGAAGTTTTACAAGCTACCTCCGGTTCCTCCCTCCGCTACCAATGCGCCCGTCTCGATACCTCCTCATCACCGAGGGCGGTTACCCCGTGGTCCTCGCCACCGACGACGACCCGCAGAAAGCCCACGGCCTCGGGACCCGGACGATCCCCTAGTACGGCGACAATATATCTACCGTCATCAGCTCTACTCTCTAAGAGTCGGCTCGAACCGTCTCTCTCAGTACCGCGAACTATTGCCAGAATCGTTCAATCGTGACGAAGAGCTGGTCTCTCGAGCACGGAAATGGATACGGCGCGAGCTTAGGGTGTTTACTTTCTTGAATCCGGAAGGGGAGCCAGAACCAGGCCCTAGTCGGGTGGCTCGGCCTGGTCAACAGCGACTTGAAAGCCGACGGGGGAATAATGCCGAGTTTTTACTCGAGTACGTTATTGCGATTCTCCGCACTGTTGATATCAAGGGCAGTGCGGGGCAGGCGGAAGAGCTCTTGCGCGATTTCCTAGGGAGAGACAATGCGCGCTTGTTTTTGCATGAGTTGCAGGCCTGGTTGCGCAGCCCTTACACGTCACTGGAGGATTGGGATCGCCACGTTCAGTACGAGGATAGTACTCCTGGTGGCTCCTTGGCTCGGCCAGCTGGGGGAGAATCCGAGGTCTCTGATCGGACCGCGACTCCAGTCTACCGAGGCGCACAACGCTCATTCCGCGGGAGAGTATCAAAACCTTATCGGCCCCGGGGGTACCAACCACAAGGCAGATCGAGAGATGCCTTGGCGCAAGTGAGACGGCTACAATATGCACGGGACAGATATATTCCTGATTAACGGTTGGAATTACTCCGAAGGTCACTTTTGTTACAGGATAATGAGGCATGCCAGATAGAATAACGCTGTAGAATATAGACTAATGCATGTATGGCCAAATGGTATCTTCAATGCTGTATGTGTGGTAGTCATTCCTCGTGAGTACTGTAGATGCAGATCTTCCTTAAACAATTCACCGCCCGCCTATCTCCTACGAAAGCGTCCAGCGCCCCGGCCTTTACTGTTCTT